GGGCAGGAGTTGTCTTGGGCACCTCTGTACCCGGAGCAGCTGCGCGAACGTGCCGGGGGCCCGATTCGCTGCCAGACGTCCGTGTTTTTCCCAGCCTGAGGACGTCGCTAGTCGGGGGTGCGGGCCGGGAGAGGGACAGAGCAGTAGGGTGCGTCTGAAGCTGTCGGGTCTGCAGCCCTGTGCCGGCTCGCTGCGGAGCTCCCGGAACGAGGATCCTGAGTCCGGAGCAACCAGGCAGACCTAACGCCCAGCGAGCCAAAGGTAACTAACGCCAGGGACCACGGTCCTTGTGTCTTGACCCGCACAAGCTCCTTGCACGTTCAGATATTACAATTTAATCAGGGAATTCCCAGTATTTTCACCCACCGCGATAAAGGAATTGCTCAGATTATGTCTCTGTAAGGTCAACCGTAGACGAGGGACTTATGTCCTGAAGGGATCCTTCAGGAAAGGCACGTCCAAGACCAGAGAGATGAGGCCACTCCTTCAGTTGTTGCTGGCAGAGTCATTAAGTCACAGCTAACATGTCACTTCTTAGACTCTCATTCCAGGCACCTTTCCAATACAGTATTTCCCCTTTTGAATTTCTTTTTACCAGCGCATCTTGCAATGTGTTCACAGAAACGATCATGGAAAGGTCCTCCCAGACTTACAACCTCAGAGCACCCCAAGACTCCAGCTGCTCCCCAGAAGAGCTGTAAAAGCGCTGTGCACTCTGGTCTTCACCCCACCCTTCTTCCCCAAGACCATTCATGTCAGTTATCTTGAGTTCCCAACACATCTTCAAGTTAATACGCTGTGAACTTCAGATAGACAATCAAAAGAGTAACTGAGGGAACGAGGCCCCCCGCCCTGAACACCTCATAAAAGAGATTTTAGGGAGTTGCCTTATCTCAGAGTTCAGGTAGCAAACTATTTTCAATGACCCATAGCTTGTCTAACCTTAGGCCTATTGTGATAGATCTTATATCTTAGAGAGAAAAAACTTCTTAAAGGATTAAAAAAAAACATAAAAAATTCAAATGACTCTTGTTTTAATTTTACCTGACAGAAAGTTCCCCTGCCCACAAGTTAGCACGATTTTCCCCACTGCTGAGCTAGGAGAGTGAACTGTGCCCCAGGGCCCCAAAACATACACATGGAAGCTAGTTGCAACTAAATCCATCAGTAATTAGCTTAAAACTGACCCATACAATCAGTGAATGAAGAATTCAAAGGGGAGAGAAATGATTTCTCTGCTTTTGAACTTTTGAGGAATGATTATTTGGACTCTCCCTAGTCACTTATGCAGGGTTTAATAGATGGATCTCATCCTCTGTATGCCCCCTCGATGAAGGCATTTGTTCTAAATGAACTCATAGGGACATTTCTCACTGTACCCTTGTTGTAAACACAGCCTTCGTTTCATTAAAGTAGATGTGAGGGACACAAAACAGGTAATATTATAGGATAAGGGAAATTATACCAAGAACATGCAAGCTAAGTTCAAAGAGGCCCCAATTCAATTTCTGATCCTTCTCAAATATTCTAGGGTTTGGCAATGCATGCACAAAATATTCTTGCTTACACTTATTTTTCAGTGTCTGCCCCCAAAGGGTTTCTGCCCAAGAGTTTCAAAAGTATTTAAAAGTGATGATTAAATTAAATACAAGAATTGTTTAGCGATAAGCTGAACACAAGAACAGATTTTGGTGAGTAGCAATTCTGGCTTAACAGCTGTATATATTGCTCAGTTTAGTTAAATTATTTTTGCTTCTGTTATTCTCGTATGTTTATATCATGTGTGTGTGTGAGGCGTGGCTTGGTGATGGTGAGCAACAGAGCAAGAAACATTCTTAATTTCACCGTAAGGTGGATTGATACCTGGGTACATCAAAGCCCAGCTTTTTCCTTTTGACACTCTTACCTATGCTTTTCTTAGTATTGTTTACTGATTTTCATAATTTTGTTTCTTGGTTTTACAAATACAAGTCAATTGCTTGCACAACCAAATGGAAAGAGGGGCACTTGAAATTAACTTGAAAAGTTTAATTTTGTTTAAGACCAGCTTTGCATATGCCATACATATGTGGGTAAATAGGCCAATAAGGAAATCAACTAGGGGTAATGTAGGATGTAAGGGAGTGTGGACATAGGGCCTAATGTCTTTTCTCTTGCAAATTATAAATGTGACAAAGAGTTACATCTTACATTGACTCCCTTATTCAATAGCTATTTCTTATCTGCTTTGTTCTTCCTTGCTTTCAACTTGATATCAATCTGTCCTCTTCTTTAAACACCCACCTTTTCCTAGAGGCTTTTTTTTTTTTCTGTCATTTCCAACCATCTTCTGTCCTGGAATGGCTGTTTTTTTCCCCCTAATCATCTATGCATGCATTGTGCCAGACTTCACCACATCTTTCTGTGTATTTTTCTTTTCTCCCATCAAAACAGAAAGTTTGGCAGGGGCCCTTACCCCTAGTTTTATAAAACAGCAACCACCTGATGGCATTAGATTCATAAAAGCTAATTTAATGAGTAAATATATGAATTGAAGGGCATCCTCAGGACCGAGAGGATCTACAGGAGATCCCAAATCCCTAATCCAGTGTCTTTGGGTTTTATTGTCCCTTGGCATTTTGTATTTACCATAAAAAACAAGGATGCAAATTGACACAATCACCACCAGCACAAGTGTACATGTTTATATAAGTTTCTCCTGTCTCCTCTCAGTGAGAAATGAGAAATGGAGCAATTCTGGGACACTTTGTTAATGTCTTAAAATACGATTTAATGATAAATTTTGCTCCTTTGTCACTTTTTTGGCTACTTTAGAAAACAAAAGAATTTTTTTTTTTTTTTTAGAATGAGTAGAAAGTTGCTTAATTAATGTAGGCGAAAGTTGTAGGTATAATGGTCCAATTCCTATTGGAATATAAGTATCAATGTGGATAAGATGGATAAATAAGTGGGTATTTGTAAGGCATGTTTTCAGATTAAACACCAAAAAAGGCACTGAATTGCTTGTGCTTTGAAGATGATCTTTCCAGGATGAAAGGGCTTTCAACTCACTTGAATAATGACTGACATTAACAAAGAAATCATTTATATCAGGTATGGAAAGAAACCATTTTCGAAGGAACCACCTTCTGATTTATAAATCAACTATGACATTTTAAGATCGATGACCAGTACTACTTCCCACATAATCTTTTGTTACTAAAGCAGATAATCATGAATTAATTCAATTGATCCTTTAACAGCTTTTAAGGTGAGACTATCTGCAATAACAAACACCATGAGAGAAATTTCCATAACCTTTTGCAGGTGTCTCACCTACTTGTGTGACAATATTTATCTTTTGGTTCCAAAGCACCAAATATAAATGCCAGTAGTAGGTATTCAGTCAGTGTTTATGGGCTAAATTAATTTATATTTTGTTTTGGATACACTTATTGGCTCATTTAGCCTAATTAGCTGCCCCATGAACTATTATTCCATTTTTTTAAATGAGGAAAACTAAAATCTCTACAAAGTCACAAAAGTAATGAATAGGGAATTTTGGACTGAAATCCACCCATTCCTTTCCTCATTAAAATACTGGGGGGCGGGGGTAGAATTTTTTAGGGGAAGGGAATATGGATATTTCATCGCATGTCTCATTGTTTTCTAATTTTACAACACTATAGAAAAATAAGCTTTTCATTATATTTGCCAATCACAAAAATGTAAGACATGATTTATATCTTTCATACTCAACTGGTAAGAATCAACCGATATCAATCATAATTTTGCCTCAATTATTCTGTACATAATCATTTATGTAAAATTCTTAAGAAATGTTTGTATGAAATACGAAAAACAGATATAAAAGTAAAGATGTAAAAATATAGTATCAATTTAAATATTACTTCATAATTTGAATTACTAGTAATCTAATGTTGGAAGGGGAATATGGTTGAAAGCAAAAATATTATATAGACACTCTGTAGCAAGTACTATATCAGAATATGAACCTAATCAAAATGGCATTTTATACATTTCTGGAATGTAAATGTTGGTAGAAATTTTAGGTTTCAGCTTGTTATTTGATTTTTAAATAAATATTTTTCTGGAAGTGAAAATATGGTATGTTTTGTAGTCAAGGTATTACATAAGGAGAAATGAAGATGATCTTTACAAAGTTAAAGCATGTGATTTTTCTATTTTAATTCTGACCATGTGACATTGGGAAGGTCATTTAATTTCTCTGAGCCTCAGTTTTGAGGTCTATACAACCACAGTAACCTGTGCCTTCCTTTGCCTCCCTTTCTCCTCCCTTGTGGGGAGGATAAAATTAGTGCAGGTGAAAATGCTGTGCAGTTTGCCCCTTCATGTTTGTGCTATGATATTATAATACTGATACAACTATTATTTATTCACATAAGGAAGTATCATCTAAGAAATGAAACAGCTGACCCCTACAACAATTGATGAGGGCTGCACATCTATTTTTGAAATATGTATTCTAATTTATAGAGCAAAAAATTTAAAAATAAGCAAGCTCCCAAAAATGTCAATACAGGAATTAACCCAGTGGTATTTGTTTTTCTGTTCCACTGGCGGCTTTAGAGTAATATCAATGTGTGTTTTTCTTACATAACTGTATGACATTACTTAGGGGATAATTCTAAAATTCTTGTCCTAAGGGACTCTAGATAACTCTCACAAACCTCAGATTGGCTTTATCCCTCTTGGCCAAGTGGTCACAGTGTGAGGGTAGGTGACTCGGAGTTCAGAGTCGTCAGCGTCCAGGAGCAGAGAGCACAGGAAGATAAGCCCCACGAATCCACTGCATTGTCTGACAGCCTCGTGTGAGGGGGCGTCAATTTAACTTTAAACCCGTGAGCTCACTGAGAGCAGAGGAGAGAAGGGGTGTCTCCAAATGCTGTTGCCATAGCATTTTCCCATCTCTGTTCCTGCACGCCCCTTCTCCCCCAAAGCAGTCACAATTGGTGCTCTACGGTTTTCTTTCAGGAACGAGATGCATTTTCAGAAGACAGGACTCCAGCGATAATGCACCACCTTGAAACAACCTGACAGAGATTTAACAAGCCGGACAGGTGCCATTAAGTTTCAGTGGACAGACTCATCTTTGCGGATCCAACTGCACAGCAGAAACAGACCTAGGAGAGATTCTTAGCATCCCCCAAATCTCATTGGCCCTCTGGACAAGCCATCCCACAACCAGTCCTGCCGCACAACCAGATTCCTTTCAGCACTCGCAGCCGTGGACAGCTCCCCGGCTGGCGGTGGTTTCCTCTGCAGTGAGCTGACTTACTCTGCCAATCGCGGTGGGGGCCGAACCCACAGCAGTCCCAACCGACGCTCACAGAACCAGCGCGCCCTCCCTCCGCGCTCTCCGTTCCCCGCCCCTCGCTCACCCCGGCCCACTCCAGCGGGACTTTGAGGGATTCCCTCTCCGGCGGTCTCTGCAGCAGCACATCTGGCCTCATTCTGGGTACGGCAAGCATGGATCTCCGAAGAAGAGCCATCCCCAGCGCCGAAAGACTTCGAGTTTTATTGCTGCTGTTCCGTGAGTAGCGTTTAGGCGACTGGCAGGGCGGGACGAGCTCTTGCAGAGGATAGAACAGGCAAAGTCAAGCCAGCAGCTCGAGATAAAAATATTGCCCTTATGTTTTTGTTTTTTTTTTCCTTTGGGGACAAGGATGAGGGCCTTTCCCACTAGTGGCTGGGAATTCCTCCGAGAGCCACACACCTGTTTGGCATATCTCAGACAGAGCCCGGAGCCCAGACAGGTCAGCTGCGTGGGGCCAGATCATTGGCAAGAAAGATTTGATTGAAAACCCCAAGATGTAGAAAAAGCCTAGCCATGTTAATAGGTATGGATTTTAACATTTTTAAATTTTATTTTCACTGTAAACTAAGAAAAAAGAATCGAATTTGTGAGTGCTGTGTTAGAGAAACAGCTTGCAGAGCGCACAGCTGCAGACGGGTAACTTTGTCGCCCCAAAGACTGCAGACGGTGGTCTCCCCGCCCCACAGCCCCAGACGCGTGGGCTCCCTGAGCCTTGGACTGATGCGACTGTTTTGTTTGTTCCGCAGATGCAACAGCTCAAATCATGGCAGAACAAGAAGTGGAAAATCTCTCAGGCCTTTCCACTAACCCTGAAAAAGATATATTTGTGGTGCGGGAAAATGGGACGACGTGTCTCATGGCAGAGTTTGCAGCCAAATTTATTGTACCTTATGACGTGTGGGCCAGCAATTACGTAGATGTAAGGAACCTTTTACCCCCGGCTTGCTCCTAGGGCTCCAGGGCGAAGGGCACCCTCCCTCAAGGCCCTGAGAAGACCCGGGTCACCTGCCTTTCTCCCCCACACCCCTTGCAGGCTGCTCCCGAATGCTGCATGGGGGTTCCGGCTTGTAACGCCTTCTGCTCGCCCTGCCTGCTTTGAAATTAAACCCCCCCTGTCTCCGCTTCCCTACCGGGTCTGCACGTAGAGCATCTAACCGCATGTTCCGGGACCTGGGACGCGCGCGCGCAAAGGAGCGCCCAAGCGTGCAACCCAGAGTTTGGACGCCCCGCCCGTTGCAGCCCCCCACCCCGGGGCAGGGCGCGCTGAGGGGGCGCGGGGCGTCTGTGTTCCCAGCTGATCACAGAACAGGCTGATATCGCGTTGACCCGGGGAGCCGAGGTGAAGGGCCGCTGTGGCCCCAACGAGTCGGAGCTGCAGGTGTTCTGGGTGGATCGCGCTTACGCACTCAAAATGCTCTTTGTAAAGGTAACTCCCAGCCCAGCAAGCAGAGGGGCCACAGGCTTCCAGTGGGTGCGGGAAGTGGCGGCCCCTGGGTTTAAGGACCCAGAAGTTGCTAGGGGTTGGTTGACAGCGCCTCCCTGGCTGGGCAGGAAAGCCGCAACACGTCCAAGGGAGCCGAGGCGACTTGGAGGCTGAGCAAGGTGCAGTTTGTCTATGATTCTTCTGAGAAGACCCACTTTAAAGACGCAGTCAGCGGTGAGTAGAGCCCAGCAGGGCTGAGGAGGGAGCGCGGGAACGCGGCGAAAGCACAAGGCGAGCAGGCTTGGAGGACGAATTCCTAGGCGTTTTGGAAACAATTTGGGCTTTGCACTCCTGGGACAAGTCTGGCCTTGGCTTGCTCCCCAGAGCAGAGGAGGCAGAATCGCCCTCAATCCTCTGGGTCTCCCGCCTTGTAGATGATCCACAAGGGACTCTGGGCCTGAGGCCCAATCCTTTACCCATGGCCTGATGAGATGGCCCTTCAGAGCCTGTCATTCCCTGGCTGCTTCTGAAGGGCCTCTTAAGATTTGGCACAGAGAAGGGCAAAGCTGTATTTTGATTTTTTTCTGCACCCTGTGTTTTTCTTCTCATGCGCTGAAACTCCGAGGGGGCAGTGCGACCTTCCTTTGTGGTCAGGGTTTGCTGGCCCCATACAGGGTTTGCTGTATTTTTCCGCAGGACAGTATGGCTGGCACGGAATATTCAGCCCTCGGAATGGATTCAGCACCGCGTATTAATTTACTAGCTTTTAGCGTTTCCTCCTCATTTCCCCACAGTTCACCCAGACCCTCCTAAAATATTGTGACAAGAGGTCCATCCCTCAAATAATAAAGTTCCTATCTGCAGGCACCCTTCAAGGCTATATTTAAATTTATTGTTTTTTTTT